CTGGTGGATGGCATTTATTAAGCCTGCTGTTCTCCACATGCCTCAGCCCAACGCCAGACAGAGCAGGTTCCCTGGGGTGAGGCCATCACCGAGGACGAAATTATTCTTTCAGTGCAGCCCCGTTTCTGCACGAAGCTGCTTGCCAGGTAAAGAATAAATCTCAAGTTTTACAACTTGTTTATTTTCTAACCAGACTTCTCATTAAAACAGAACAGAACAAAACACCCACAAAAATTCATTCTCTTTCACAAACAATAAAATACCCAGGAAGGATTATGGAAGACTTGGCTTCTCTGAATGCATCTAGCAGTATGTTCTATGTTGCTTTTTCCAAAAACTAATCGCCTCTGTAGACAGTAGATAAGGGGTGTGTGTGTGTGAGCACATGTGCATGCATGTGTGAGTGCACGCACACACACACACACACACACACCGATGACGTGGTGTGGCTGAAGGTTAAGCCTGACTGAGGTTCAAATCCAGGTTGACTCTTCACCAGCTGTGTGATCTTGGGTTTCTGTATAATAGGGATGACAAGACCTACACTATAAGGACCCAAAGGGAGCAGAAAAGCCAGTGCAGTTCCCAGCACTCAGAAACTCTCTCCCCAAAAGCAAATTGGAGTAAGGATGGCCTGCAGTTCCCAGAAAGCTCTCCATCCCCTGGAGCCCTATGCATACACATTGTCCCATATTTGTGGCATTCGGCAGGACTGCCTATTGTCATTTTATCTTTTATTGTGCATCTATCTATCTCCCTAACTGCACTGGAACCACCTCAAGGGCAGGGCCAGCTCTAACACTTTTTCTGTCTTGCAGAGATGCTTACTAGGTGGGTTGGCCAGATGGGCCGTGGTCCCATCCGGAAGGCCCTGGGGAGAGTCTGAATCTCCATAGGAGTCTTCTCTGCCCTGCTTCTAGGTGTCACTTCAGACTTACTGCTGGTCCGCTAGAGGGTTCCTGACACCAATAGATTATTCCAGAAGCTGCTCTTCAGCCTTTCCTCCTGGTCAAAAGTGTGAGGATGGGTAGCACAATGGAACAGAGCTTCATGGTGCCAATTCCAGCACTAGTGAGCTACAGCCCCCTGACCTCTGTGTCTTGTTCATAAAGATGGGAACAATAAAACGTCCCTCATAGGCCTGCTTCTAGGATAAAATGATAGGGCCATGGAATCATCTAGTGTAGGGCCTGGCACCCATTAAGGTCCTCAGTTTTTCTTGTTAATACCACAATCCTTTACTTTTAAGATGCCATTGATTATGAGATGCGCTACAGATAACAGCTTTACAGGAAAAACTTGAGTGCCAATTACCAATTAAATTCATACATCTCAACCTCAGATACATTAAAAAGTGCACAAACGAGCCATGAATTGTCTCAACTCAAGTCACAGGGTGAATGGCTGAGGGAGAAGTACACGAGATAAGAAGCAAAAACCACCAATGCAATTAGATGACAACCTCGATGATCAGCCTGATACAAACATGATGCTGATAGACCCAAAAGATTACACTGCAGGCTCTCCCAGGCCTGGGGTGGAGAGTATCAGGGACTCAGCCCTTGGCTTTCCTTTCCTCAGCATCTCTGGGCTGGATCTACTGGGTTCTGTTTTTTTTTTTTTTTCCTTTTTCTTTTAAAGAATGAACATATTCTAAGTCTTGTTTCTTTTCTTTCTTTTTTTTTTTTAAAGATTTATTTATTTATTTGAGAGAGAGAGAGAGAGAGCACGAGCAGGGGGGAGGAGCAGAGGCAGAGGGAGAAGAAGACTCCCTGCTGAGCGGGGCGTCTGACTCGGGGCTCAATCCCAGGACCCTGAGATCATCACCTGAGCTGAAGGCCGATGCTTAACCAACTGAGCCACCCAGGCATTCCTTTACACAGATTTTTATTAGGTCCTAGCCCTGTCCTGGCTGCAGCCCAGGGTTATTTGTACTGGCTTCCCCTCCCACCTTTTGTAGGCTCTGAAGAGAGATAAAAAGGGTGGGGTTTGAGGACAGATCCTAAACGGGCTTTATGCTAACTTGGAAAGCCATTGTCACCTGCTCAGTACCCACTCCCCCCGCCTCCCCCACCATTCCCAATCAGGAGTGGAGGTCCACTTAAGCCCCAGCTCAGTAACTGGGATTCTCTGTCCTCAGATTCCAACTGACACACATTGTCTTCTAGACTGTGGGCTTCCTTTTAACATGACCCTACCTATTTCAAGTGTCTCTGTGTGTCTAACCAGTGCTTGGCACCTAGTAGGGGCTTAGTAAATACCTGTTGAATGAATGAATGGTTAAGAGGATCCTTATATGTCACATCCATCACCAGCATTGTGACAGGTTGATTCAGCTGACTCAATCAAAGCCAATGTCATTTGAGTGCACAGAATCATCCAGTAGTGAGTTGGAGTCAGCTTGGAGTTGGAGTTGCTTGATCGAATTTTTTTAACTAGTTGCATGCATTGTGTGGGTTATAGTCTCAATCTCCACGAAAACTCTGGAGCACAGAAGGTGTGTCCACCCCACTGCTTTCTGGTAATGACAGAGGTTTTTTTTCCCCTTCCTTTTATTAGTGATAAAGGTTTTGTTGGAGATAATTGTATTTTTAGCAGCACAGTTAATGAACTAGCTAAGCATCAATAGATGGAATCATAAAACCATTAAGCACTAAGAGCAGTAATGGGAAACTGTGTCTGGTGGTAATGAAATTAAGTGTCTTTATGAGGTTACTTTATTCCTTTTCTCCCCAGCTCTCTTGCCCTCCTGAGTACATGGTGACTGCCACCCCTAACTGCTGTTTCACTAAAATGCACAATGCCATCCATTTTGTGTTTTAATTCAATGTATTTCTCGGGCCTTCAGGATCATTAAACCCTCCACCAAGAGAGTGCAGTAGAAGTGGCAGTTATGAAAGCTTCTGGAAGTGGCCCAGGAGTGTAGGAGAATAAAGACAGCAAAAAAGGTTGAGAAAGAATAAAAAAGCTCTGCTGGACTTAGTATTGGACCCAAACTGATAAGTGTCAATGCTCAAGGCTGAGCTCATTCAGGTCTCTGGTGCAATCTCTGCAGAGAGGACAGGGCTGCTCTGAGAGATTGGGGTCTATGGTTATACCTGTCTGGAAACCATACTTTCTCAGTTTGGGAATACGTTCATATGCATAATTTACTTTGAGCATTGTGACAACCCCTTATGGTAAATTTTTATTCCCACTTTCAGATGAGGAAACTGAGGCTCATGGAGTTTAAGTGACAAGACTCAGGTGCCACTGCTAATTAGAGGCCAAAGCTGGTGTTCTTTCCCTTATACTAGGAAGCCTCATGGGTGTTGAGCCAAATCTCTTGCCAGTGATTCAAAACTTGCCCAACCAAGGTCACAGCATCATTATTTCATTCCATAATTCAAGAAATGTATTTTTTAAAGATTTATTTAAAAATATGAGCGGGGGTGGGGGTGGAGGCAGAGGGAGGGACTCTTTAAGCAGTCTCCCTGCTGAATGTGGAGCCTGACACGGGGCCAATCCCACAACCCATGAGATCATGACCAGAACCAAAACCAAGAGTCAGACGCTCAACCCACTGAGCCACCTAGGCGCCCCTAATTCGAGAAATATTTATTGACATCTCCCATATGCTCCCAAATGAGCAAAGCAAACTTCCCGCATCCTGATAGAACTTAGATGTAGCTGGGAAGGGTTAAAGGGCAGCGCTGTGCAGTGGCTGGGTGATATGATAGAGAAAGGACCACACTGGGGAGGCAGGATGAGAAATCTATAGGATGAGAAGGCTTCCTGGAGGAGGTGAGGTTTCAAACTGAGGCCTGAAGCATGGAAGTTAGAGAAAGAGATGAAGGAGGGGTAGAGTGTACAAAGGTGTGGCCGAAATGTGGGAGGGAGCAGTGGTTGAATGGCGGTATTTATCGAGGTGATAGCATCCGCTGATAGGACTAAAGAACTGATTCCACGTGCAGGCTGAAGGGGAAGGAGGAATTAGGAATGCCTTCCCTTCAGTGAGACAGGGAGCACTGTGGGAGTAGCCCAAGGGAGAGGGTGGGATAAGATGGTAATTACTGGGCACGTGTCGCTCTTATAAAAACGCACCCTCACAGACTGCTCAGCTGGCCAGGCCTCATGGGATCTCAGGGCTAAGAAGTGAATTAAAGCCCTGCTCTAGACATGGTGCTGATTCTTTCATCGATGACCCCCCCCCCCCCGCCCAAAGCCCGAGTACACTGTTTCCACCCTGCTGAGGAATTGAAAGGATGGAATGAAGCCCCCAAACGGTCACCACCAGCCAGAATGATAAGGCTAAACATGATGGAATTTAATAGGGGCAAACGTAAATAACCCCCCTTAGGTTTACAAAATCAGTTGTTCATGGGGCACCTGGTGGTGCCGCCAGTTAAGTGTCCGACTCCTGGTTTCAGCTCAAGTCATGATCTCAGGCTCATGAGATCGAGCCCTGTGTGGGGATCTGCACTCAGCGCAGAATCTGCTTCAGATTCTCTCTCCCACTCCCTCTCTCTCTGCCCTTCCCACTCATGCACTCTCTCTAAAATCAATCTTTAAAAAAAAAAACCAAACCCTCCAAATCATTTGTTCATGATAAACAGAGAAACAACAGGCCCCAAATAGAGTCACTTGTGCGAAGTTCCACATCCGCAAAGCAGGACTTAGCACCCAACCTAATTGCAGTTTCAGCCTCTCCCAGGAACATGACCTTTGATCAGTCAAGCTGGAATCACCTGGTCAGAACCAGTGAGGTCATCTGTCGGATAGACAGCAACCCCCCCTCCCCCACCCTGCCGCCTTTACCAAAGGAAGGTGACCTTGCCCGAAACAGTCCACTCTTCATCTTGCCCCCTTTCTGCCTATAGAAGCCTTTTATTTTGTACAGTTCTTTGGAGCTCCATTCTGTGTGCTAGATGGGATGCTTCCCGATTCATGAATCATTGAATAAAGCCAATTAGATCTTCAAATTTACTCAGTTGAATTTTGTTTTTTTTAACGGTGTGAAGAATGAGAACCTGGCTTGACAGCAGCCTGTGTCTGCAGAGCCTAATGGAGCCAGCTGTGGAGCGGGAACAGGCCAGCAGTGTGACACCGCGGCCCTTCTCCCACTTCGAATGCCACCTTGATGGTCAAAGCATTGCAGAGGAACCCATGAAAGTGGTTGTCTGACCGGAACAGAGAAGAACCTATAAGGACAGAGCCTAGTTCAGAGAGCTGTCCAATAAGGCCTGAGCTTCAGGGAGCTGCTTGGAGCACGGTCCAGGCGTACCTCCAACAAAATACCTGGAAAAACCAGAAGCAAGGGGCATAATTCTCAACTGACCAGGGAGCCTCCAAGAGAAGGATTTGTCTGGGCTAGGAGCAGAAGGAATGGTGGACCAAGGAAATGAAGAAGGGCAGAGGAGCCCAGAAAAGCTGATTGTCATATTAATTTGTTTCAGTCATGTTCGAATTCTGATCAGGTATGTGCTTAGCTCTCTGCTGTGGGAAACGCTATAAAAGAATAGTATGAACGGTGCTAATAAGTCTAGCTCAGATGGCAGGTGCTATTCAGAGGGCGATGAGGTCTGGGAGAGCTGAGGGCCAGGGACCATGTCCCTGGCAAGGCATGCGTTGGGGGGAGTGAGAAAAGCCTCTGACTGGAGTCTTGGGAAATAGGTGGATAGGTAAGGGTGAGTTTGGCAGCTCGGGGGGCCTGACAAAGAGCTGAGACGTGATGGAGCTCACTGGGCTGAGCTCTTGCTCATTGGGGAGCGGGGGGGCAGGGTTCACAGAAGAGTCATCTGTCCTGTGGCGCTGAATTGTAGGATACCAGAATCTGTGACTTTCCTCCTGATCGCTTCTCCCTCTATGGTGTGTGCCCTAGCTGGCTGACTGCCCTGTGTTGTGCTGAGGACCTGGAGCACACATGAGTGCCTGGACTACAGTGACCAGGAAAACTCCAAGGAAAATCTCTGGGAGAGAAGCCCCCATGCCCTGTGATGGGAACTCAAGCTAAGTGAAAGCGGGATGTGAAGGTGCTTTGTAGGCTGTAGAGTGTAAGAGATTCCCTTCCTTCCTCCTTTTCTCCCCTCTTTCCTCCTTTGTCCGCCCCCGCCCCCCTTCTCCATCTGTTGAGCAGTGGCTGCTGAGCAGGCCCTCGGCATAGGGACGGACAAACGAAGATGGTCAGAACACAGGTCCTGCTCCCACAATTCACGGTGGAGAGGGGAGATCAGACACACAAATAAGTGACATTTCTTTGATTTTAAGATGCACTCCCAATATAATAAGAGTTTTTGAGAGGGAAAAAAAAAGTCAGAAACAGTACCACACTAAATGTACGCATTGTTTGCAAAACATCCTTATCTTAGAAACATACAGATGTGGAAAATGGGCATGTTTGAAAATGAGCCTGTGGGCAGAGTAGTCAGTATCACAATAGAAGTAGGTACAGTGACCTATCAGAACATAAAAATGTGTGGGGGGAAATCTCTGTCTTAGAAGTAGTAGTTGCAGCGGTGTGATCATTGTCATAAGAGTGGGGGCACAGGGCACCCCTGGAACCCCCTGCAGGGAGCTCTGAGCGGTGCCCGGGGACACCAGGTACGGCTTCAGTGGGAGGTGGTGTTGCAGGGCCACCTTCCAGGTGAATAATGGTGGACAGGCATGGGTAAAGAGGCCATAGGAGGGGGTCCCTGGCAGGGGAGCAGCTCTGGCAGAGGCAGGAGACAAAGGAGAGTGCGGTGCATTCCGGGAGCAGCTGCTTGCCATCCTGGAGGTGGTTACTAATAGTGCAGGAACAGAGGGGGCCTTCCGTCTGGACGCGCCTCATCACAAAGACAACAGGGAGGGACAGGTGGGCTTCGCAGTGTAACAGAGTGAGGCGTCTCTGCTAAACTTGCCCATCTCTTGGAAAGTTCCTCTGTTTTCTATTTATATAAGTCATAAATCGATTGCCTAATGCAAAAATGATGTGTTCTCCAATAGTTAGGAAATATAACAGTTTTCAATCAATAGATTCAAAATTCTTTATTACATCTGCTTGCTTATTCCCTTAAACCTTTTTTCCAGAGGAAGTATGCCCTTTGGAAGTGATTGATTGTGTTGCTCCTGTGGGCACGTGCACTTCTTAAAGGTTCTTCTCTCTCTCTGTCTCTCTCTCGCTCTGTCTTTCTCTCTTTTCCTTCTTCCCCCTGGTTGTCAAGCAGCTGCTCAGCTGCAACACTAGGCAGGCATCAAGGAATATATGTTTTTGCTCAGATGTGTGTGTGCACGCGAGGCTCTCTGAATTGCATCCTCGCAGAATAACATTTGGGTGTTGGCATGATGAGGATACTATTAGCAGGAAATTCATTTATGTTGGTCCCAGGACAGTGAGAAAGCTACCACAGTGTTGAAAGAAAGCCAAGTAAACTGTCTGGAAAGTCCTTCCTAGGGCGGCCTGGTAAAAGAGATGGACAGTACTGGGTTAATTAGGACATTCTTCTAGACTATGTCTCTTTATGCTCCTGTGGGGATGGACATTCTCTGGGGGCAGAGAGGCACCCCTCTGGTCCTTTTGCGTTCACTTATATGTTCAACCCATCCTGGGCCAGGAGGAAAGAATCCCCTGGCTTCTCCCTCTTCATGCTCTTTCTTAGCCCTGGGAGGGCCACGAGCTGTCAGAACACGCTCTGTGATGGAAAAGTACTGACCACCCTGGCTCCTCCTCCTGGTTCTGCCACTGGAGCCTCTTTGGATCCTGTCTCCTCATCTGTGAAATCCGCCTGTTTACTAGTTAATCTCTAAGGTTGTGCCTCAGATCTATGACAGTAATTCAGACAAGCATAGAGTGGCTGAATGTTTATACTGTGTGCCACGCATCCTGCTGAGAGCCTTCCTCATTTAATCCCCATGGCAACTCTGTGTGGTTCATACTCTTATTATCCCATTTTACAAATGAGGCACTGAGGCTCTGGGATAATAGCTACCTCATCCTGGGGAATATAACTGTCAGAACTGGAATGAGGCCATGTCTCTGGTTCTGTAGCCCACATGTTTGATATGTTTTCTTAGTCAGGCTGCTGTAACAAAACCCATTGACTTGATGGTTTAAATAACAAACATTTATTTCTTACAGTTTGGAGGCTGGGAAGTCCAAGATCAAGATGCCCACAGATTCTGCTGAAATCTCTCTTCCCAGTTTACAGATGGCTACCTTCTTGCTAAGTCCAGAGAGAGAGAGAGAGAGAGTTCTAGTCTCTTCCTTTTCTTATAAGGACATTAATTCCATCATGAAGATCCTACCCTTATGAACTCATTATATCTAGTCCTGTCCCAAAGGCCCTACCTCCTAATATCACCACACTGTGATGTTAGGGCTTTAACATATGAAATTTGGAGGGACACAAACATTCAGTCCATAGCAGACATTATGTAGTCTTGCCTCCTTCCATGATTTGGAGGGAGTGTGGATGAGATTTGAGTCACCCTTAGAAGCAGTAGGAGGGCACGCTTCTCTCCACCTCCAGCACTGCGTGGAGAGGGAGTAATCAGGGGCAAAGATGCTATGCCCGCGAGCAGGACTCTGGTAGCTGGTGAACAGGGGTCCTGTGTAAGGTTTTTGAAGCCAGATACTCGTTGGAGACAAGCTACTGCCTGGGAGTATCTGTGATGATTTGTGAAAATCCAGCCATTCGTTCCACAAATATCTTTTGAACACCTACACTCTTCTAGGGGCTGGGAATGCAGTGGTGAACAAGACAGGGAACTTACATTTTAGTAGGGAAAAAAGACATCAACTAATCCCACAAATAAATGGGTGATTGAAAATTGTGTTAAATATGAGGAAAGACTATACAGAGTGCTGTGGAGTGTACATACTGGGGGCCAGATCTGGTCCTGGTGGAAGATGGGGTCATCAGAGATCTCCCTGAGGCAGTGGTTGCTGAGCAGAGATCTCAAGGGTCTGAAGGCTCTAAGGAGGTGTGGCAGGGGTGGGGGTGGGGAGCTGTGTGACTGCAGCCAGAGGGTGGGGGTAAGGGATGTGGAGGGCCAAGTTCTGTAGAGCTTTGTAGGTAACTTACGTAGTTTGCACTTTATTCCAAGTGCAATAGAAAACCATTGCAAGGTTCTAACCAGGAAAGTGATGTGAGCTGGTCTGGTTTGAAACAAAATCACTTGGCTGTGGTTTGGAAGAGGCCCTTGTGGGAGCAAGAAAGCCGGTTGGAGGGCTGTGCCCATCAGTTGTGTAGACTGAACAGCTAGCAGTAGCTGGGCTAGAGTTGGCAGTGGAAATGGAAAGAATAGGACGGATTGGGGGATATGTAGGAGGTAAAATCAGCAACATGGTGGGGAGTGGCTTGAGTTAGGGTTGAAGGAGGGATAATTGATATAAACAGGGACAGGCAAGCTCATTTAGTACCCTGATGCAATTTTTTTAAGAGGTAATGCCCCTTCCAAAAGCTTCCCAAAGTTTCTAGCTGGGTCAGTTAGGATAACTTCATTTGTATGTTAGAGAAATCCCCCAACTCAGTAGTCATAAACAATTAGGAACCATATCACATAGCAGGGAATGCCTCGGTGGCAGGGCTTCTGGGTGGTGGGATCAGCATTTCCAGACATCAGACACCCAGTCACAATCCCATTATTTTCAGGTTCAACTGGCCAGACTGAGGGATGTTTCCACCCTGTAAATCAATCTCTGCTCAGGCAGGAGGTTTACCATGACAGCTTAGACTGCTCAGGATTTTGCTCTGGACTAGGAACAGATTACCTTACCTGAGGAGCGGGTAAATGGACCTGGGTTCTGTTAGGTGAAACTAGATATTGGGGCTCTTTGGATTTGCCATGGTGTCCTGGACCAAGCCCCAGGTTTTGGATTTCTTAGACCAATAAACATGATAAAAGGAGTGGATGAGGCAACTGGCGACAGGATTGCCAACTTTTCATTTTTACCTGGTAAAGACTTAAAAAAATTACTATCTACTGTTTCTATCATTTCATCAAAAAGATATTTTAAAAGCAAAGAAGAAAAAAACCTTTTAAGCTTAAAGAATTTAGCATTATAAAAACTTGCTATTTTTTCCTTATTTCTCTTACCTGAAATTTGGAAACCGTTCTCTTGGACCACTATGAACAATATAAAACAGAGGTTCTTAACTGGATCCATGGGCCCATGGGGTCTGTGGAATAGAAGTTGGAGCGGCCATGAACATAGGTAGGGAAAAATTACAGCTTCATTTTTACTATCCTGTATCTGAGATGTAGCATTTCCTTCAATTACGAGTGTGACAACAAGCTGCTAGTATGAGCATGACCTGTGATTTTTGTCATCAATGGAAATCGCAAATATTTTCATATCACATTACAGTTGCTGTAGGTATCTGAAATGTCATTTATACCCACCACTATTTTGAAATTACAGAAGCTATTAGATAGCCCCTGGAAATGTGGGATCAGTCTTCCGGAAGAACTCTCCTCCATTCTAGCTGGCCACTGTCTGGCAACTCTGTGCATGGGTAGGGCGGCCACTGGGCAGTGAGTTAGAGTGTTCTCATGGGGGCGACCCACACATTCCAACATTCCTTAACTGTAAATGTTTGTGGATCAATATGCAGAAGGAGATGAATCATTTTCATAGTTTGCCCAAGTTTCGTCCATCTGAATTGCTCTAATGAGAGTTTTTCACTCTCCTTCGGCAGTGCAGCCTTTGGTGACATAGATGAGCTCAAACATGTCTGATGGCTGAGCTGACTGCTGAAGTGTGAGATTTAAAATAACTCCTTGTGATCGCTAACAGATTGCATGGTGACATGGGTTATGCAGTGTGGTAAGCTCTGTGAGCAGTGGAAATCCTTTCTCTGATTTATTTTTCTGTTTTTACTCTGTTTGCACAATGTTTGTGTTTTGAAGTAGAGTCTTGCATGCACAGTATATCATTCACATGTTGTTCTTGTGTTATTGTTCTGTGAAAATGCCACACACTTAAAAGAATACCTCTGTGGGAAATAGTGACAATATGAGAAATGAGAACCATTATTTCTAGAAAGTCACAGAGAGTCACATGAAGCAATTGCTAAATTTCAAGAACAGGACTGTTGAGCAACTATCTAATCCCCTG